TACGAAACCATGAATAATGATCCCGCTTATTTAAAGCGCTATTCAGTATCTGTTTTGGAATACAAGTACAGGCATCAATAGCACCTTCAAACATCTCAATCATTGTTATAAATGAGTAATCTACTTTAAGTTTACACCTACTGATGTCGTAATTTGTGCGGTTACAAATTCTCCCGACGGTATTAACAATATAGGTTGTTTTTTTCCAATTCAAACTAATGTAGGTCAATGAGCAAAAGGTAGAAGACACTGCAGAGATGATGTTGTCCTCTCACGACTGCGAATGGGCAAAACCTATGTTACACAAAGTTATTTTTATGTAAGGAAGTTTAAACTAGGTTGTTGTCAGGCAGGTGATCAATAATTTACAGTTAAACCTTTTTTGATTGAACAGACTGATTTCAAACAAATACGTTGCAAATTATAAAATGTACGTCTATGAAAAAAATCATGTGATATAGTTTCTGTTAAGGGGAGATACAAGTCATATGGCATATCCACATGCATATACAACCCAGTGAAATATTTCACTTTAACAACAACAAGCATACCCTTATCAAATACTAAAATGTTCATTAGAACGTAATTGTCATTTATAGAAAATAATAATTTTTAAAAGTTAACTCAAAACTTTCTGAGAACACATTTAAATTCATTGGATGGTTGCGTCCCTAGCTAACACAAGCTAAGTCCTAAAATTCCACAAAAATGTTATTTAATTTCTTCAATCTGTAGTTTATGAAAACCTACAAAGGAATTCACTCAAAATCCCTTCACAATGAAATACTGGCATAATTTCCTGATGGTTGTTGGCCAAAATTTTCAGCCATTTTCTGCTAGAAAGTAGTCCATGTAGTCAGTGAAACAGAAAGGCTCAAAACTGCAAAACTGAAAATAAAAAAAATAAAACATTTCTTTCATTTTTACTAAATCCTCTTAAAACTTTGATGGCTTTATTATCTTCAAACATAGTTTCGATTTCCAAATTGGAAAATGTTTCGGACAATCTTTAAAAGAGTTATCACCCTTTATTTTATCTAATTTCAAAACTGTTCAGAGATCTTCGCCCTGATTTCTACACACCTCAACAGTCTTTAAACCTGCTTGGATTTGTTGCCACAACATGTAGTTGTGCTTTCTGAATTGGAATTTGATTTTGGTCATATTTCACAGAACTATTGTCCTTTTATTCTTCAACATTTCAATCTTGTCTAGAAATCTGTTCTCTCAGTTTTTCACCCAGATTGTTGAAACATGGCAGGCTTTATCTTCACGAGGTGTGTTTGTGCTTCCCAATTCAAAATTATTAACTTAACAATGTTTGAAATAGTTATCCTTACTGGCAGATAAACTTACCTCATGTATGAAATTGATTTGATGTATTATAGTCTGCAAACAGGAGCCTTTCTGTTCAATGTATCTGTTGTATAGGACGCCAGATAGAATCTACACAGTATGATTGTTGTATTTGTCATATCAGTAAAAATATAGCTGTAGGGAAACTTATCAAGTATATGACTTCCATAAAGGTTGGATGTCTGAAAATATAAATCAACAACACATCAGATTAGATACCGTTAATATGCTACATTATAAAGATTAGCTGAAGATATGATCTGAGATTTCAATTAGCCTGACTATATTTCATTCAAATTAATTAAGTGAAAGGTATACATTGTTGGAGAATACCTAAACCAATACTCATCATAAAATATTTTCTCTATTTAACAATAGGGTTGGTGCATGGATACTTATACATGTAACACCAGATCCAGATGCACAAAAGTTTTGTAAGTTGTAAGTCATGATCAATTCTAATATGTTTATCAAGGAACACTTCGAATATGCTTACCAAAGAAATGATTTCCAAGAGATCAATGGCTGAACTAGCTGCATCATTGACTGACTGTTATCAGATCTTTATAAAAAGGCTTGCAGGGTATTTAGAGGAAGAATTTATTTGGTTGGCTGCCTGGCTGTTTAGTGAGTTGGCAGAGCTAGATGCCTGATTTGACTGGGTTGGTTGACTAGTGGCTCAAGTGCCCAACTGATTCGATGGGTAATGTGTATTGTATCTGTCATCTATAAAATAACTAAATAAAAAAATTCTACTAAAACATTTTCTGACTGACATATATTATCTCACAGTTTGTGTAGTAAACTATTTCATTTACATATTTAATCAGCATTGTGTAACTTCACATCAGGTGGCATATGTCTCAAATGGAGTTTGATAAATAGCTAACAGAGTACAACACCTTAGCTAGAAAACATCAAAACATTTATCTTTCATCCTGATAAGTGCAGTTATCCATTCAGCCTATATTTACTAGAGACATCCCATATTGTCCAGTATATTTGTTCTGGTGAGTGCAGTATGTACAGAGGGTGTCATATAAAGTAATAGATTTGTCTACAGCTAAAATAGGCCTAATATTGGCCCCAGAACAATGCTTAGCTGAGAATTATGACTAACCATCAAGACAGGAATGGTTGAACTTGACAGTCTAGTTGACTTGGGTAGTTGACCAGCCTGGTTGATTGGTATAGTTGACTTGAGCAGTTGACTGGTTTGGTTAAATTTGGCTGGTTAGCTGGACTGACTGACTTGGACTGGTTAACTGGAGAACTAGCTGTCTGGACTGTGTAACTTGGGCTGGCTAACTGGACTAGTTGACTGGGATGGGGGAGTGTACGTGTTGACTTGGCTGGCTGACTGACTGGACTGGTTGACTTTGCTGACTGACTGGACTGGCAGACTTGGGTTGGCTGACTCAACTAGTGGACCGACTGCTCAGCTAGTTTGTCATGTATCTGCTTCCCGTAACATAGGAAAAATTAAACAGTTCTACACAAAACATCTTGGGCTGCTCTTGGTTACGCTTATATATAAAAAATAAATATCACAACTTTAAACTATCAGGTAGAGGTAGGTACTGATTCCTAAACAAGCTCTATAGTTTTCATATATGTGCATTACATAATTTGAAGAATGAAGGTGCTCCTAATTACATTTTATTACAAAGTGGTGACTATTGGTCATATATTGGTTCTGAACATCATACATAATGCTGCCATAATTTATACTGTCAGAGTTTACATATGTTACCTGTTCAAAAGTATCTGCTGTACAGGTAGAGATTTTAAAGTACAGAACTTGATATATGTGTTTTCCAACCCAACGAAGCAGCATTGACACCAACAAACTTCAAATATATCCATTGTCTACATTGATATAATAACAATAACATTTCCCATTCAAATTGTTTTACAATCATTTACATAATGTTACGATGATATTATTTTATGTCAAACAAGAGGCCTAGGGGCCTTAGTAGCTCACCTGGTAATTTATTTTTCAGTTTAAAACCTGCTGAGTACCATTCAGGTTTATCAAAGGAGTACAAGTTAAAAAGTTGCAAGAAGAACTACATATAAATCTGTTTTGGTGGGAAAGACAACAAGAAAATGAGTTTCCATGTTATGTCCCAGTTTTCCTCTATTTCCCCTATTGGGCCCCAACTCTGACCCCAGTAGGGCAACACCCACCACTAATACAAAATCGAGTCCCCTTGGCCAAAGGATGCTCAGGACCAAAATTGGAATAAAATCACTTTATTACTACGGTTAATTGCAAAGAAACAAATATCGAACTTTTCAATGGCATTACGTTACAGAATCTGTCGCGTGATTGTTTTAGATCACGGCATTTAGTCATATATAGTTTACTGTAAATGGTTTATCACATGTATTAGAATAAAATTGATCTTTCTTACGTAAACTGTTGCAACGATTTATTTAGGTATGACCTATAAGCAATCGCAAAGACGCATTCACAACTCACATTAAGGCACACCCTTAATTGACCTTAGCTATTATAAGACGCTGAACAAAATATAACCAAACCAAAACCAATCATTAATATATCATGTTTAGCCAAAACCGTTTGTGTGAAATAAGCACAGAAAAATTGAACTTATTTTATCCTTTACTTAATAAGAAGTACAGCTTATTAATCGCACGTTATTGCGCTACCTCACTACCCTATCCGTGAATTTAATTACTGATGTATAAGACAATACATATAAAGTTGAAGAACTATTTACAATAAAACACTTTTTATTCGACCATCAGCTAACACAACGTGATCATTTATTGAAACAGGAAGACCAACCTGAACTGAACGCACAGCATGTCACGTAACTATTTCCTCTCACGAAACTATTAACAATAAATCACTTTTAATCAGACTTCATTCACATTAACGCAACGCGAGGTCATTTTAATAATCAAATACAAGGTCTCTAATCTCTTTTCAACGCAAAACATACTTTGCGAGACCCTACGATTTGACGGATGGGGAAAAAGATAAATAGACTGTATCCCTCTACATGTTGTGAGCGCTTACTAAATCCTTCATCCCATTCCTTGCAGAATCATCGGTTTACTGTATACAAGAACTTGCATCCGTATGTGTATTTACGCGTGCTTGTTTGTGAATGTGTTTGATCCGGTATGATTATGTATTTGCCTCGTTGGAAAAGCACATATCTGATGCTGACTATTAGAATGCAACCTCCCCCAGAAATATCATTCTGCCAACAGGTTAACCAGTTGTTGCGGTGTATGATATAAATATCTTTCCTAGTGATAATGCATACATAAATTGGTTACGATTTGAGCGATAATCTGCAAAAGCTATTCATGTCTGCCTTCAACAGATACCCTTATCATTACGATATGACATGCAGTTAACGGCATTCCATTTTATTTCATTTTGCTTTATCGGTTATAGTGTAGTTTTAATCGTTTTCTCTCAAAATCGCATATATAACATAACTATTCGCATGCAAAATGAATCGCCATTTGTGCCTTACACCATTCTGGGTGTGACTTAATGTAGCAACACGCATCCCTTTGAAAATTTAGTTTCCCGCATCGACTTGCTAATTTCGTATAAATGCCTCTTTACTACGTATTTTTACTTTTATCTTTCAAAGGAAACCTAATGGTCCTGTTTGCTATCGTCAAGAGTGCAAGACTAAGAAGCATGACCAACTTTTTCCTGGCTAACCTCGCTGTAGCCGACTTCTGCGTCGGCCTATTCTGTGTATTGCCAAACTTGTACAGGTTTCTGACCCTCACTTGGAATCTCGGACGGGTAGGTATTGGCAAGGACAACGGAGGGGCCAGTCCTGGTAAAAGTGGGGAACCTGTCCCACAATGTTCAATCCTATACCCATACTTAAATATTGGTATAGGATTAAGATTTCAACTGTGTTCAAATGCCCATATGCAAAAAATAGGGCAAACAGTTGAAAGGAAGTTGTCCTTTCGCGACTGAGAACAGGAATACATACAGTTATATATTGCTTAATTAGGAGCAGCAATATTGCCATGCATATGATTAACCCTTTACATTCAGGTATTTGATGATTGAATGCGCTGATTTCAAACATGTAAATGGTAGATTCTATCATGTAGCATCTATGAAAAGTAAATTTGATACAATTTCTGTACAATTTATTTATACACTCAGTTTAGCTTTCCAAAAAGATATGATTTATTTTACAACTAATTAGTTTGCTTTCGATGGATATTTAAATTCTTTATATGTATCAACCTATTTAGTTGTATTATATAAATATTTTAATGAATGTCAAGTCTTCCATTGTTGTTTGACCCTAAATGACTCAAATTGTCGATGGGCCGTTAAACAATACTAACAACAACGTTCATTGCACACATGGAGACAATTTCTTAAATGATCCTAGCTGATAATAGGACGCTTAACCTTGTATACTTTGTTATAAGACGGAAAATGTTTCCTCTGGTGGACCCTACATTACACACATAGAGGCACGACCTTTGCTGTTTATGGGACACTAAATCAAATAGGACGCTTTACCAAATTAATTATTCAGACAATGAACCACCCTACCACAACATCCCAAAGGGCTTGGATTATTTCATGTTAACACATTACTGATTTTTTCGCGTCTCCAGTCTACATACATTTTCTTTAATGTTTGTAGACACGAACTCTCATGCAATTCCCAAATGTGTATATCAAATAAATACAGTATGACCATGTTATTAGATAGGTTTCACTGGAACAAGAAGCGCTTCTGTATCGGAACGATCGATTTTAGGAGGCAACCACTACGGAATAGACAACTGTGAAAGAAACGGGCACGTGTCAGGTTAAAATCCCGGTTGTGCCGTTCAGCTTGATCCGGATTGGAACGGATATTAAATGCTAAAATTGTTAATGACAGCCGGTCCCTGTTGGTAATTATATATTTTGAAGTATCGGTGAACTGAAGTTGGATTTAATCGGTAGTAAATGGTGTTGTTAGCATAGAGACAGACGTCAAAGGGGATGCAGACACTACATTTTCAATAGGAAATTGGTATGAGCCGGCAGGCATCTGTGTGAGGTATACATCATACACGTTACGGTTAACAGAAGCCAGCAGATCACACGTTAAGACATCACCGTTGAGTAGGGTTATTTAGTCGTCACAGCGCCACTATCGCTAGCTCAGTCAACGAAATTTGCTCGATCTTCTCACAGAAAGAAGTTATTTACGTGCATAAAAATGTGTTTTGCATTCTTCAAGCTCTCGCTTATAAGCTTAAACATATTAGTTCATCTTATTTTTCCCCCTTTTGCACTTATTTCAATTAAATTGCTAAACAATTGGTAATGGGGGTCACAATTCTTCGTATATATGACGTAATGTAAATCAAGTATACAAAAGTCTACAGAACTGTCTACTGGACGATGAAAGAATAGTATCAGCTTTCATTATTTGATATATCTACAAAAAGTTTAACAAAAACAATCATCATGATTAATGACCTCACTTTGGAAAGAAAATCCAGCATTATAGAAATTTTAGTAAAACTTACCACAGCTTTTTATATATTATTATAGATATATTAACTGTTGACAAGACTTCNGGGGGGGGGGGGGGGGGGGGGGGGGTCGCCTCTAAATATACCTATAAACAAAACGAATGAGCTTTAGGACTTTAGTATTTCGAGAAAGAAATATTTTCTTCCATCATACTGTTGGTAACATCGGGAAAATATCATGCATAGTAAACAAACTGACTCATAATCCCGAATGGTTTCGGACTGACATTTGGTGGGATGTTTGAGTTGGACAGCGAAAGTCCATTAAAGAACCCTTTTCCCACTTCAGAAAGGCGTGTGTCCGCGGCCTTATCTAATTTCAACCTGTACGTCCTCGACAGACTACCAAATTACAATGAATTTGGTTAACAAATAGCACGTAATAAGGTCACAATGCAGATGAATCTTTTTCTGCTAGGATTTTTCAGCAGCTAAAATACTATTGATATCGGTGACAGACATTCCCCATAAGTACTTCGATTGCAGATTTATCAATAGATTTCATTCTCATTATATCACGACCACGGCAAATATTTTCAATAATAGTTTTGAGGGTACGGAAGTTGGTTCCTTTTCATTGGTCACACTATCCTGACAATTTTAAACATGTCGCCGCATTTACTAAAGAGGCTGAAGTTAAGCATGTAATCGTAACCACCAAAGGACTTAATATGTTTCGGCTTTGGGAGAGAAACCACCGACAGTCATCCTCTCATGGACGAACGCTCTTCGGTATAGCTAACAATGAGTCTATGCCAATGGAAGCGTTAGACAGTAAACATATCAATGATATAGTCCTTAAATTGGTACTTACTGCTCTCTACTTGACGATCAGCTATAACTGTTAGCGGCTACCACTGGTTTACCAGTTGTCAGCATGGTGTGACCAGTTGGAGAACAGGACAAAATGCTATGTTTGGTGCCTTCGGCATGGTAATTGATTGAGGTAACTCGTTAAGACGGTTCCAGATCCGGGCTATCACAATAAGCAAATTCACAAACATACCCTACCTCTAGCACACATACACAAGACCCATTGAAGCACATCCTTAAAGAACTTAAGCCATCGGTAGAACGTTAAAATTTTTACAACCATCCAACCAATCTTCGGCACATATAGATACATCACAAACATTGTTATTTCGCTCTAAAGAGAAAAAGATACTGATTCAGCAATTTACTTTTGACGTAAAATGATTAATGCTATTACTGCGTTAACATTTTACATTTTTTCTCTCCAAATAAGCAAACATACTTACATACACACACAGACAAGCATGCACACACACACAATTAATACTTTTTACTATTTGTTTTTACATAACAAAAAAGGTTAGTCCTTTAACGACTTTAGCTGTTCATAGAACACTTTCAGAATAAATCTTTATTTTAATGTGATCATTTATATTTACAGGTGATGTGTAAACTGTACTACTTCGTCTGGAACATGTGTTACACAGCATCTATAGTTATACTGACGGCCATCGCGGCGGAACGCTACATAGCAATACGGTATCCACTGAGGGCACGTCGATTCTTTACGCTAAACAGACTTATCATTGCGCAGATCGTAATCTGGACGATATCAGGCCTGTACAATATCCCTTACCTCTTCGTCTTTGATATTGTTGGTGGGCGCTACTGTTTTTATGATTACACTATTATCGACATGAAAGCCTTAACAACCGTCAATTTCATCGTCTGGTACGCCCTTCCTCTAATTGCCATGACGTTTATGTATTCCAAAATAGGAGCTGTTCTATGGGTTGTCGGCTCCTCAAAGAAGGTACCCGTTTTAGAAAAGAAGATAGTAGAACAGCAGGATGATTTTCAATCACATTACACTAGCAGTTCCAACGGTTCGGACGGCATTGTACAACGCTTCACTTTCAAACTGCACGAGTATCCAACGAAGAAGAGAATGATCGTACACTGCGACTGCGCTAGTAAGTCATCTCACGAGTGTTGCAGGAGCTGTCTTCATAATGGGATCGTTGTGAAATCTTCTGGTTGTCGCCGAACAGACAATCAGGAGGTTTGCTTTTGTATTGATCGTAATAGTCGTAACGAAAATTCCTCCAGCTCAGGGAAACATGAGGCCAACAGTGACTGTGCTTCGTCCACGTTACACCAGTGTATGAACATAGAGCTCGAGTATAATATCTGTTGTAGCGAGCCATCGTTCGTTAAACAGTTTAATGGACTTCCTATCCATAATAAGCGGAGTTCAAGAGAGAGTTTGTCATCACGCTCGCGCAGTCACATTCTGTCATATCCGACACGCATGAATTCCACGCGTGCTCTGAAGAACAGACGAAAGGTTATCCGCCTCCTTGTAACAGTAGTAATTTCGTTTGCTGTGTGTGTTTTACCGCACCACATCCGCCTACTGCTTAAGTACTGGAATATAAGGACACCTGGAAACGGGAGCGTTCTGTCTCTCATTTCCTTTCTCATTCTTTACCTGAACAGTGCATTTAATCCAATACTTTATGCCTTGTTTTCAGCGAATTTTAGAAAGAGTTTTAAGGAAATTGTTCCGTGTAAGAGACGTTTTTCGCCCAAAGGATTTCATCAAGATACGAAATTTGGCAGTTTCTAATGATTTTGGTTATAAATCATTTACATAAAAATGTTGCTTTTGTTCATTGTCGGTATTTTTGACAACGTGTTGACCATATTTTGCTACAAAATGGTTTTATTAATAAATTGCTTAAAAATGTCTATCCCAATAGTTGTTTTTTTAATCCTGAAATGCATATTGTATTTGTAACTTTGCGAATACCTGAAAATTGGCGTAAGTGTAGACCGTTCTCGCAAGCGAGAAATATCATGGGTTATATCCCCTGGCCGATACAAACCTAAGAACTATCATTTGTATATTTTGCTCTCAGCTTGTCGCTCAACTTTTAAATGGTTGCGGAAGGACTGGTGAACCCGTTTTCAAAATTATGTGACTGGAACAACTAATGTTGCAAGTGCCTTCTGCACGGGATTTCACCAAGGCAGAACTCTAAAATCGGCATCATTACCGCAATATCGCAAAGAAACAAGTACACTAACATAGCGCATCCATGCATGCTTAGTATACATGGAGGCACATTCATGAATGACTTTAGCCGAACAAAAAAACATGCATGTTATGGATATTTATGAAAACACATTGTTAATATAAATACGTCTTTATCGACAATATTCATGTAATTCTGTGTAATTAATATTGTTACTTTAAGGAGTTTTACGAGGGACAACTGTTACATGACAGACATGATTTGCAAAATACTATATAAAACTGCAGATCAGTGTTAATATTGGAAACCTGATCGCGCTAATGACTTCTACAATAGTAATTATACAAGAAGCAGAGAGAAAGTCACAGCAGGTTTCAAGGAGATTGCATGATTGTAAGTGATTTAAACGACTTTTCAATGACATTTTAACACTTTTTTTAAACATTAAAAAGCAGCGTAATGAGAGAAGATATAGCCAGATCAAATGACGTGTCTTTTACTTGTATAAGGAAAACCTCGTTATTTACTAATCACTGATTCTCAATAAAGTTTCGTATTAATACAAGAAAACCACGATAAACACCGGTCTCAAATCACGTCAATATGGTATCAATGTGTATATTGTATGTATATTGTATAATGCATAGCACGGGAACTACAGTTATAAAATATTTATTTGTAATGGTGACCGTCTAAATGATTAATGGAAATGTTTACTGGATACATTAAATGCACTGTTCATACATGACACCTTGGTTTTGTTTGCTTTGCTTGTCTAGAGTCATTAAAATGTCTGCCAACTAATGATGGGCTCCAAGAGGCCATTTTAAAGATCAGCGTCAAGAAAAGAATAGTAAGAGCTATTTTGTAGGACTTTGGCTCGTCTAGGTCAGGGCAGAGAACCCATGAACCTTTTCGATTGATTGAACGCTCGACACAATGGCAAAAGCTATGCATTGTCTGAGGGTGGCCAGGTTGTAACATTTAAGCGTGATGTTTGTCTCGAGAGGAAAGCATTTGTGGTTAACTACCGATAATCTAGGACGTCATTCTGTGCACCTATTCAATCGTTCTGAGCAAAGAGTTCATCAATTCTATATAACGTTTTCCGTCAAACGTAAACAAAATCTAACAAGTATTTGGTTTTTAGTTTTTAGTTTAACGCCCTAGCAACAATAAGGTCATACAAAGAAAAGCGTCTATCTAGGGAGACAAAGAAAAAGAAACAAATGAAGCGAGAAAAAAAGGATTACAGCGGTCTCTCTCTAAACAGGATACAAATGGAACCATATTATTTCTTCAAGTAAACATGCTTTTTGCTGATGTACGTTTTTCACATTTATTGAAATAACTTGCAGAAATTATAAAAAACGGTATTTCTAAGATTTCATCATCACGCTATACCAGAACAAACGACGTATACAAACACCGTACATGCCACTAGGACAAATGTAAATCATCTTCAATGATCATTGATTTCGTGTTTGTAATAATTGCTTATGTGTATGTACTTATTAGGGTAAAATGACAGTGACTAGTCAATCGTTAATATATCAAGTAACTAGGACTGCATAAACGCCTGCACTTGACCGGAAAGGGATACAGAGAGCAGATGTATGGAAGAACACACCAAGTGCTGCAGAAGAACCCACATTAAAAAACTCATACGACTGCGGGGAAAAAAATATAGGAAGAAAAAAACTTACACAATAACATGTAGTGGATTATAGCAAGCTTATTCTCTGCTCGAACTTTATCGATTGCTGAGCAACTGCACTGTGGTTTTTCCTATTTACAGTTACCTCTCGGTTACTTCCGTTTGGATATAACTGTAGCATAGTTGGGCCAAGACACTTCCGTTGATCGGTTAGAGAAATAGCATAACAATCTAAAGTCCAGAGTTCGAATGCTGGTCTACAACTAAGAACACTGTTGTTTATCAACAAAATATTTCATCTTTATCATGTTTCATAGATGTCCAATAAGGTTTGCTTTTCTTTTTAGAAATTATTTATCAAGAAGTAATATTCATTTTGTTTTTTGATTTATATTTGTATTCAGTTTTTCAAAGCACATACACATGACAATATTTGGGAGACTATAACATACTTCACAGTACACTCATTCTAAACATTCCATACACATTTCATGTTAACCATACTCATTTCATATACCCAGTTATCTAAGTATTGAATCTGTAGCGAATATTAATCTTACTGAACGTGTGTACCATCATAACAGAGCATGCTAGTTTATGACATATTCATTTCAAACATTTCATGTATAATCATACACACCATAGATCTGTATAGAACATTCATATCAAATTTTTCATACACAACATACATCTGTATAGAAACATTAATATTAAACATTTCATACACACCATACATCCGTATAGAAACACTTATATTAAACATTTCATACACACCATACAACTGTATGTAACATTCATATTAAACATTTCATACACACCATGTATTTGTGCAGAAACATTCATACAACAGTATGGAACATTTATCTTAATTATTTCATACATGCCATACATCTGTATATGTATAGAAACATTCTTATCAAAAATTTCATAAACACCATACATCGTTTTAGAAACATTCATATCAAACATTTCATTCACACCATACAATTGTATGGACCATTCATAGTTAAAGATTTCATATACACCATACATCTGTATAGAACATTCATAATTTAACATTTCATATACACCAGTTCTGTACAAAATATTCATCTCTATACATGATGTACATTTAAAGAAATGAATATGAATAGCTCTCACACTATCATTCAATATATCATACACAAGCAAATACCTTAGTATGATAGTATTTATTTATTAACGCATATGCTATCAATCTATCCAAGATGTCATTTCAAAACATTGGAATACAAACTAATTTGTAAAACAATTTGAAGATTTACTGCTTTTTTTGCTTTTGGCCCAATTAACATTTCTGTGTTATTCATGGACCGTTAGGCCTGCTTAAACAAAGAATAGAAAACCGAAGAAACGCAACGCTATAATGAAATCAATTATGAGGAAGAAATGTACACACAGCAGAAACTTAAAGTAAAGATTTTTTCAAGAAAAGCAACGAACTTGGCATTTAAGTAGGATATACAGCAGCAGCGAAACGTAAAACTACAAATGATGATTGAATCAAGATTTGCCCAAGGGATGATGTGTATGAAATACAGTGTTTTCATCAAAACAAAAGGAGCACATTTCAAACACATTAGGGCGGGCGAGAACAGAGAGCACGGCATAAATTGATAAAGGAACTGCTTATAAGATCATTTGGAATAATCGGAAAGACATATTGTCTTTATTCTACCAGTATATGAAATTATTACACAAAATATTACCTTACTGTCATCAAACACGTAATTTGAACTAACAATCAATAAAACTTTGGCAAACGAACAGCGAAAAACGTCCGTGAGACCCGTGAATAAGTACAAGGAGAATAACACCAGGTGTTCAGTATTCGAAAAGGTAAAATTATCCTGCTTCAACACCCATGAATATCTAGGGCATATAAATTGATGTCATTTTTTCAAGGCGGATACCGAAGAGTTACAAGGAAACAAAAAGGCACATTAATCATGCATCTCTGCAAAACATTGTGTTATAATTTTGGCATCTAGCATTTTACGTATTCATTACACACACTTGGCCTCGTTCTAAAAGGACATTTTTCTTTCTTTTTTTGAACCTTATCTGTTGTAGGGATGTTTCTTCGAATACAAACTTGGTTTTTGGTTTTTATTTTGTTTAACATCCTGTTAGAGGACGTGTCCCCAGGTGTGTTGTGTGAGTGTGTATGTATATATATATACATTTGCATGGCATTGTCACTATATAGCCTCTTTGAAAGCTGTGTCGTTGATGGGACTTTAATTGCCAAGCATCACGAGACACTATTCTTAGCGTATTAATACAACACTGACCGGAACTACAATATCCAATATAAATATTGGGTCATTTCGAGGGCCATTAGGCCATATTTAAGATCGATGATAATGCTGCAAAATTCGCATTTTTTTCTGTGACATATCGCATAGTGCACACGACCCTTAAAAGGTCAACATAATCCCGAAAGCAATGTTTATGTACTCCCTACTGGTAGTGGGTTGGTGCCCAATTGGTAAAATAAATGTATATTGCAGGGAAAACAAAGTATGATCACTGCACGAAGATTACCTTTCCTATTGGGCCCCAAGGAAGAAATGCGATGGATGAACATTGAAATCCTAAATCTACAGGCAGTATGATTGTGCCGAACAACTCGCCACTTCCGGGGACGTCAGTTTTGCGCCTCTCAACGACTCGGATATTGTCTCATATCATTTAAACAGGAAAAACAACGCTTATATCGAGGCCTGATCGTATGGAAAATGCAGAGGTGAGTGTATAAGTGATTTACTAGTGAACAAAAGGTATGCTACAGTAGGATAAGAAAATCTGTCCGACCGTTTTGTAATCATAGGTACTGTAACCTATCAGAGAATTAGGATTTAAAATTCATGCATTCACGTCGGAGAAATACTGCTTTAAAATGTATAATGAATT